GGGGTGAAGAGGCATGTGGATGGATATATATATATCGACAGACAGGTGGTCCATGTTGCTACCGACTTTCCCCTCCACACTTCCAGATATATATAATCAGTGTGGATGTGTATTGTGTCTAGGGGGCCCGGCCCACACTTGGCGCCAACTGGTCAACTCTACCCGCCCCCGCCATATCCCCGGCGCCGCCGCCCCAGTATGCCCCCCCGAAATATCTGCCCCCCGTTAAAGGCCCGGGCCCCAGCACCCCCGGGGGAGGGCCCCGTCCCAGGCCCCCCGCCCCCAGTCGAAGGTGCCATGTCACCTTCCCCGTCGAGGGGGCCTCCCCCCTGGTGATCCTGCAGGGGTGGGCTTTGTCTGGACTGCCCCCCACCAGAAGCCCCGGCCCCTGTGCCCCCAGGAAGGTGCCCCCCGGCCCCCCCGGCCAAACCTCCCAGCGAACTGGCGAATACAGAGGGACCGATTAATCCGCCCCCCACCGAGGGGGCCTCTCCTCTGGCAATACCCATAGACGGGGCGGGGCCTGAAACACCCCCCATCAAAAGCCCCCGGCCCCTCCCACGGGGCTCGCGCCTCGCGCTCGGCCCGCCCGCTTCGCGCGTGTGCCTCCCTCTCGCATCTCGCATCTCTACTGCCCTCCCCCCCGGCCGCCACAGCGACCATCTCCCCCGCCGCGCCAACTGGCGCCCCTCCCCCCCCCATCGGCCTCCCCGGCGGCCCTCGCCCGGCCCCCTTCCTAGGGCCGCGACGCGCCACCGTGGGCCCCGTCGGCCCGGGGCCGGGAGACCAGGGATCGCCCGCAGCGCGTGGTTGGGTGGGCGCCGGTGCACCGGGGAGTCCTACGCGAGGGTCACCCTGCCAGGGCCCCCACAGCAAGATCCCCCGCCGCCCGACATGCCTCACACAACACAACGCAGCCACTATGGCGAGCCCCAATCCCCCGGGCCCGGACCGTTCGGCCAGGTTCGCTTCTACACAAACCCACCGACCCCATTTGGGATGTAAAAATGCAAACAGCAGTAAAAGTGGCTAGAAAATGCTGCGGGGGGCAATTTTTGTATGGGGGTGGTCCGTGCACGACCAAAACACCATACAAAAAGTGGCCCAGTTGAGAAATCCTGAGTGACATTTCCGTTTTTTCGTGGGACTTGGTCGTTTGAAAAATCATAAAGTCACGTGGTTGATCCTTCGGGCGTGCCCGCAGGGGTCTACCCCCCAAGCCACTCCCGCCGCGGCCAGCCTTCGGGGGCACCACGACGCCTAGATTCAAACCGCCCTGTCTCCCGCCCCATCGAGGGGGGCTTTGCCCCGAAGGTTTCCAGGGGGTGGGCTTTATCTGAACCGCCCCCCGTCGAAAGCCCCGGCCCCTGTGCCCCCGGAAAGGGGACCCCCCTGGCCTTAGGGCCAAACCGGCCAGCGAACTGGCGAGTACCCAACGCCCCATTATCCAGCCGCCCGGCGACGGGGTATCGCCCATGATAGTTCCCAGGGGGTGGGCTCCGCCCAAAGTGCCCCCCCATTCAAAGCCCCCGGTGCCACGCCCCCCGGAAATTCCCCCCCTCGGCCCCCAACTGAGGCCCACCACCCCCATGTCAAGGTTGGCATATTCCTCCCCCCCTTTGCTGGGGCCTCGCCCACAATGATCCCCAGGGCCCGTCCAAGGTGCCCCCCATCGAACCCACCCGGCGCCATAACCCCCAGGAAGATGGGCCCCCGGCCAAAAGCCGGGCCAACTGGCGAGTACCCAGAATCCTATATGCAGTTCCCCCCATGGAGGGGGCCTTCCCCCCGGTCCTGCCCATGGGCGGGGCTCCCTCTCACGTACCCCCCATCGAAAGCCCCGATCCCAGAACCCCCGGCCAAACCGCTCCGACAACTGGCGAGTACTCAACGTCCCATTATTCCCGCCCCCGTCGAGGCGGCCTCACCTTTGGCCATACCCACAGATGGGGCTTTGCCTGATACGCCCCCCATCAAAAGCCCCCGGCCCTAGCGCCCCCCCGGAAGGTTGCCCCCCCGCCCCCGGATGACGCCCACCACCCCCAGCCCCTGGCAGATTTGTCCAAGTCACCTAGCCAACTGGTGTACATGTAAGCCCGCCAAATCCTCGCCCCCGGCGCCGCCTTCCAAGCTCCCACCACGCCGTCCGTCTCCTCGCTCCCATGGCCGTCAAACCAACTGGTGAGCAAAGTTGGCGCTCAGATACGGGCCCGAAGCCCGTCATCCGGCGTCCCCCCTCCAAGCGCCCGGCGCTGCCGAACAATTGATGGGGAGGTGTAAAACCAACAAATCTAGCCAAGGTCGGGCTGACGCTCAGCGACTCGTAGCAACAAGGCTACTTGACCGCTTACACGACCCGCTTGGTCACTTCAGTCGTCTGCAGAGGATCTATCCCCGCGCGAGGTGACATTACAATCCGCTAGCCAGCTCCCGAGGGTTTCTCCCCGGGAGCCGTCGCCAGCCTGCTGAGGTGCATGGCCCGAAGGCCTATTCGTATCCAACTACGACGTGCGGGGCGAAATCGCCGCGTTCCGGCACGGATTCTGACTTAGAGGCGTTCAGCCATAATCCGGCAGATGGTAGCGTCGCGGCACTGCCTGGTCAGACAGCCGCAAAAACCAATTATCTGAATCAACGGTTCCTCTCGTACTAAATTGAATTACCGTTGCGGCGACCTTCATCA